TACCCCAGGGAGCTGAAGGTGTCGTCCTTCTTCCCCAGCGGCAGTGTGAGTCCCAGGGAGCCAAAGGTGTCGTCCTTCCTCCCCAGCGGCAGTGTGTACCCCAGGGAGCTGAAGGTGCCGTCCTTCCTCCCCAGCAGCAGTGTGTACCCCAGGGAGCTGAAGGTGCCGTCCTTCCTCCCCAGCGGCAGTGTGTATCCCAGGGAGCTGAAGGTGCAGTCCTTCCTCTCCAGCGGACGTGTGTATCCCAGGGAGCTGAAGGTGCAGTCCTTCCTCCCCAGCGGCAGTGTGTATCCCAGGGAGCTGAAGGTGCAGTCCTTCCTCCCCAGCGGCAGTGTGTGTCCCAGGGAGCTGAAGGTACAGTACTTCCTCCCCAGTGGCAGTGTGTAACCCAGGGAGCTGAAGGTGCCGTCCTTCCTCCCCAGCGGCAGAGTGTCCTGCAGGGAGCAGAGACCGTCAGTCTCGCACCCCAACCACAGGACAAAATAATGAAAGGGGAGACAGCTGGTCCCCCTCTCCACCAGCAGAGAGAGTGTCAGGGAGAGGAGCCTGATACCCCTTCTCCCCAGCGGCAGTTTACAGTTCAGAGAGGGGAGCTTGTTACACCCTCTCTCCAGCGGCAGCCTAACCCAGCAAGGGGAGATGTTACACCCCACAACAGTGCAGATGGGACTGTAGTCTCTGCACTTACAGCACAAGGGGTAGGGACAGTTGGTCCTGTTCCCCAGCCACAGAGCAGTGTATCCAGAGGGGAGACAGTCGGTCTCTCCCTCCCACAACCAGGCTCCCACCAGGCTACTTCCGTGGTAGCACTGGCATCAGGGCAGAGTACAGCTGGTCTCTGCCCACTCAGCAACCCACCAAGGCAGCCTAACAGTTGCCCACACAGTCGTGGTGAGGCACCTGGACATGGACAAAGTTCTCCTCTACCCAGATGTAGTAACCAGTTATTGTGGGTGGGCTGTACTGCTGTTTCTGTTTTGTGGGTGGGTTGCTGGACTAACCAGGGCACTGACCGGCAGGAGGTCAGATACCCTGTTAGTCTAGTTGGTAAAGGGGAGAAGTGTGGTGAAACCAACCTCGCCACTGTGAACTGGAGAAGCCTGGTTGCTCGCCTGCTCCCTTTGGACTATGGCCCTGCAGGTTAAACCGTTTATTTCCCCTGCAGAAGGGCTTATTTGTGTGATCTGAGTGCCATTCATCTAATAATGTGCACTCAGATCCCAGCTATCTGGGGATATGTGAAATGTCTGTGTGTTATGTGTAAAATGTGACTTTATGTATTTTAAAGTGTTTTGTGTCTTTTTGCAACCATGTGCTTAATGGAGTCTTGTGTCTATCCTGGGAGATAATTGAATTACTTATCTCAGGATAGAAGACTCTGAAACTGGTTTGGGCCAGAAAGCCATGCTTCATTTAGTCACAAAGGACTTTTTACTAACTTTTGAACCCCTTGTCTGATTTGTGCCATTTTTTAATATGTTGTTCCCCTGAATGGATTGATTGTGAATATGTAATTTTATGTGAATGTGATGTATGGTTTTAGAGTTATGAAAGTTGGGTAGAAAGTATGTTTTAACTGTATGTATAATTGAGTTTCCTCTCAGGATAAGGGGAGGGAATATGTGGGATGTAACTGTGATGTGATTGGTTGTTTTGTAACGCCCTGTGGGCTGTACTATGTTTGTGGATTGGGAATAAAAGAGACTGTATGTGACAGTACAGAGAGTTCCTGTTTAACCCTCAAAGTGAAGTGTCGTCTCATTATTGGGGGAAGGATTCATTGTATGCTGTTCCAGTTTGACTGCTAGGAGAGTAAACCTATTCATATGGTTCCTATTCAACTGTCTACAGCATTCATATGCTTGAGAGAAGGTATACGCTTCTCTGGTTCGGTGATTGTGGTGTCTGCTGCAGTGCTTGGAGTCCTCAGGAAGCGCTAGGAGCATCCTTCAACGGAGGTACCCAGTCGGGGTGCCAGGCGATCCGTTACAATAACAATACCCAAATTTCAGTCAATCAATCTGAAAAAATAATCAGAAAAAGAGAGACATAGGGTAATATAGTTAAGGTAAAATAATAAACCATCAGGTGTTGGTTTCACTCACATATATGGAGCCACTATATAAGCTGGCTCAAACTTCATGCCTTGGATAAATGGTAAAACAGGACTTCTGGTAGGAACTCCAATATAAACTGTATCTGGTACCTCCAAATTCATTCAGGACGCAGAATGTTGGGGGTTACACCAAAATGTATTAAACAGTAAATAAAATTAAATAAAATATAAATTGGAAAAAGTCCCACACAATTTATAAAGTCCAGACCTCTCTACGCGTTTCGGCTCTCGCCTTCGTCAGGAGTAATCCATTCCTCCAAGGCTTCTATCCTTTTATTTGTATATTTGGCGCGCTTTTGCGCTACACTGCCGGTCTTCCGCTTCCGGTTTCAACGTGGGCGTCATGACGTCAGCCCGCGTCCTCACTTCCGGTTCTGTCTACATACTTTCGGAAAAGACATCGGGACGTCTAAAGATGACGTATAACGTCCCAACCTATTCAAGTTTACACCCACAATATATTATGCTGTAGTGCTTCTGGTGACTATAGTATCCATTTAATGTGAGGTAAATTAGAGATTAGTGCCACTAATAATATATTGGATTACCTACTTACCACCAGATGAGGACAAGAGGCTGATGATGGGCTCAGTCTGGCTCCACAGGTCTGGTGTAGAAGAGGCTCTCTGGAGACTGTTTTTAACAGTGCTCACAACAATTAACAAACAGGAAGTAGCTCCATTTTTTAGGGCCCCTTACACAGCTCAAGGTCTGGGCCCCCAGGGCTTGACCGTGAGTATGCCTACAATGCCCACCCATAAATCCACCTACATGGCCCACCCATGAGTTCTCTCACAGGAAGTGGAGTGTATGTGTGTAGGGGATGTTTTATGTGTTATTGTAGAGGATGCAATGTGTGTGTGTGTGTTCTTATAGAATGTAGTGTATAGGGATACCAATTTCTGTAAGGGATGTAGTGTGTTTATAGGGGATGCAGTGTGTGTTTGCGTGTAAGGAATGCATTGTATGTTTCTGGGTGTGTGTGTGTAAGGGGTGCAAGGTGTGTTTCTGTGTATGTTCTGTGTCCTTTTTTATCCTTCCAAATAAACATAAAGCTTGAACCAATTATTAATCCCAGTAACTGAAGAACTTATCTTGCTTTCTTTGGATGATGAGCATGGAAGTCCTTTCCAGAATAGTATGGATTATGGTTCTCTGTAGAATATGGAGGAATGCAGGAATTTGTGATGAAGTTTGTTCCGAGTCTGGGAGTGGAGAAATCAGCGTAGTCAGGATCAAGCAAGAAAGGTTCGGCTATATAGGATCAGCAACAAAGTAACAAGATATGCGAGAGGCACAAATTGATTGAGCAATTTGGATGCGGACGCGGCTTCCTTTTGAAAGGTAAGCACGTGACGTCAGACGCATGGGCGGCGTCAGATTGGCGAAACCCGGAAGTCATACGGGTAATGACGATCAGAAGGAAGTTACTATAGACTTTTTTTTTCCTGTAGTGGGGATAGGCCGATTGAGGATACACTCTATTTTGGAATCATCCATCTTTATGCCTTGGGGTGTAATAACATATCCAAGAAATTAGATTTTGGATACTTTAAAAAGACATTTGTCTTGTTAAGAATATAAACTGTGTGCACGTAGTCTTGAAAGAACCCATTTTACATGTTTTTTGTGGTCATGAAGGTTATTGGAATAAATGAGTATGTCATCGAGATAGATTATGACACATATGAAAGTGTAGGTACACTAAAAACTGAAATGGAGGTGTTAGTTAATGAGGACCAGGAAAAGGCAGGAATTTTAAATAACGATTTCTCCTCCGTATATATTAAGGAAGAACCCATGGCAATAGATGTGCAAATGATTGCTACTAAAAACTTGCAGAATAATTGTAATTGGTTAACTCAAGACAAGGTGCTGCAGCAACTAAAGAAAGTTAATATAAACAAAGCTCCAGGGCCTGACGGTATCCATCCACGATTACTTAAGGAACTAAGTGTAGAAATAAGTGAACCTCTGTTTTTAATCTTTCAAGATTCTTTTCTTTCAGGAGGATTGGAGGAAGGCAGATGTGGTTCCTATATTCAAAAAGGGTTCAAAATCATTCCCTGGTAATTATAGACGTGTGAGCTTAACTTCTGTAACTGGGAAAATATTTGAAAGGTTATTAAGGGATAATATTCAAGAATTCCTTGAGAAGAACATCAAAAAATCTGCACAGTTTTATGAAGCACAGGTCATGTCAAACTAACTTGATTGCGTTCTACGAAGAAGTAAGTAGAAGTATAGATCAGGGTGTTGCAGTGGATGTGATCTATTTGGATTTTGCCAAGGCATTTGATACAGTTCCACACAATAGATTAGTGTTCAAACGCAGGGAAATCGGTCTAGATGAAAATGCTTGTTCTTGGGGAGAACATTGGCTTAAAAACAGAGTACAAAGAGTTGTCATTAATGGTAAATTTTCAAG